GTGTTTTTTTATCTCTGAGGTCAATCCACATCATCAAGCCCTCAAAAGAGGTGGTGGAGAGTTCCATCAAACTCGTACAACAGCGTAGAGCATATGGTTGTCCGCGATGTGTGGCAGTACTACAGTACAGCACTCACTGTGAACAGGAGGGGCGCGGGGGGGGGGAGGGGGGACTCTGCCCCCTTCAAAAAAAGTTGCACTTACTTATTATTTATTTCTGTTCAGCTTGGTTCGGAGCAATTTGGGAGCACCGCAGATTTCTGACGTCATGGGGGTATCACACCATCACGTTTCTTATTGGGGCGTTTCTTACGTTGTGGCCGAGATTGAGCTATGTTTCTGTCCTTTTTGCTTTTTGTTTGTAACAACGTTGAGCCTTATTTCTTAATTAACAGATTTTTTATTTACTGCGGGCGCTATCTGTATTTGTACGCAAAGGGAAGGGAGGGGTGGCGAGTACCGTGAGACGCAGTTAGTTGTTGTTGTTGTTGTTGTTGTTGTTGTTGTCTCACACTATTAGCTCTATTGTCCACAAAAAATGGGGGGCCCGTGGTCTCAAAACCCGGCACATACGACGCCGCGAGGATACAAAACAAAGGGTACAAACCACTGGGAAAAAACAAACAAAATGGATGATAAATAAACCAGAAAAAGACAGGTACCGCACCGACTGTTCGAGAAAAGAGCCCTCGGAAACCGATCAAAATAAAACAAAAACAAAAATATAGGAGGACGCTTCCCGTACCCGCCTAAATAAAGAAGAAATCAAAGGGTAACGTACCAGCACGAGGCGCTACGCACCAGGGTACGGAGGAGTGGGAGTAGTAACGAAGCAAACAGTACCTTCTTTCGAAGACCGTTCATTCGTTTACTCATGAAAGAAACTCAACAGAGCCGTACGTAGTCTAAGAGCCAAGCCGTGGGGGGGGGTTCAGGGAACTCTTCGCGATATACATACATATATTATGTGGAAGGGAAGGCCATCATCAGGGTAGCTTTTTTTTTGTCTCCGCCGGGACAGTGATATGTATGTACTGTGTTGGTGTTTGTTCCTCGGTGCGACGCTGAAATACATACATACGCTCGTTTTTTTGGTTTCACAAGATTTTCCAACACGGAGATGTAGCATGGATCAAAGCATTTGTTGGATTTCAGCTTTTCAAGAGGACATCAACGCAGTAGTATTTTAGCAAGCTTACGAACGCATGTATTTAATGTATGTATGTATGTATGTATGTATGTATGTATGTGAGTGACTCTTGTCCGTTGAGAACCTACACACTACGCGGTAGAACTTTTCGTCCTCGCTGCACACTGTTGCATCGCATCAGTTTGTATGCGCGAGAGAGAGAGATACGCCGCACGCCATCTCGTGCGGCCTATTTCGTCCCCGCTACGGCGGTGTCTTCCTGGCTGCTGGCCTGCGTCAGCCTGCCAGCTCAGCGTGCCAGCTCAGTCCCCGCCACGTCGGCTTATTCGATGGCGGTGCCCTCGCTCTGCTCGCACCCCTCTGTCACTTCTATCCTTGTCCCTTCGGCTCTCACCCGAGATCCAACTCTGTCAACCTTTGTCTGTCCGGTGCTTTCTACGCATCATCCATACCCACGACCATTGCTCACGGAGGCCTCTTGTACCTTACAAGAGTCGAGGATTCACACCCTCCTGCGGTGCTTGTCTGAGAGCCAACCTATACCTGGCGTCAGCGGCAGGATCTTTTCTGGTGAACCTCTCAGATTTGCGCTGCAGTGTCCTCCATATCCCACCATGTCCAACCCCGGGGTCGAAGAAACGAAAATGAACCACCCCGAGGGTGGATCTTCCACGGGAGAGGGCGGCCTTCCGCCCGCTCCTGCCCCCACCCCTGCTCCTGCTGCCGCGCAGGAGACTCAATCCCCTGTTTCGCCCTCCAGCGACTCAGTCAACGTCGGCCACCAGCTGCGTGGCGACGCTCTCGAGACGCACCAGGAGCAGCTCGCGCTCGCTGCATCTCGGGAGCCCGCCGCCGCCGCCATGGACATCGACGACGACCTCGTATCTCACCCTAGCGTCGCCAACTCCCACCCCGTCACTGAGACCCCTCCCCCTAGCGCCTCCGTCCTCGACGCAACGATCGCGAGCCTCACCCGCTACATCGAGAACGAGTCAGAAAAGCTCGCCCGGGGAGACATCACGGAGCTGAGCCTTCACACCATGGAAGTTATGGATAAGGTGGTGAGTCTGCGTGCAGCTGCCTGTAGTCAATCTTCCTCGGTGTCCCCGTCTGTGTCCCACAGCTCTGTCTCTGTCCCTTCGCTAGCTCGTAGCTTTGCCGAGGCCCTGTCAACTAAGTCTCACCGTGTCACGCTGTCCGCCAACGATGTCAAGCAGCTCCCCCGTCTCACGGGATCTGCTGACACCGATGTCATTTCTTGTCTCAACCAGTTCAGGCTAGTCTGCAGTTTCCGTGTCAAGGCAGTAGCACCCGCTTCTACCACCCCGTCTGACCTAGAGTCGATGTCTGATCAAGCCGCTTTCGAGCACCTGTCGCTGATCTGTGATGGCCCCATCCTGTCTTTGTACCAACAAATCATGGACGGCTCAATCAACTGGGAACAACCCCAAGGGTCTGCTTCCACCGATAGCCCTGGCTCTCACACTTGTCCCACGAACTGGTCCGAGCTCAAAACCGCCATGCTCGATTGTCTCATGCCGTCCAATTCTGTAGAGGAGTCTGCCCTCCGTCTCGCCACTTTCCAAATGGACAAGACGGAATCTGTCGCAGCGTATGCCCTCCGCTATCAAGCAGAAATGTCACGCTTCGAAGCGTCTGTCGAACGGTTTTCACAAGGGGCTTCCCCCTATGCCGCTCTGTCTGTCGTCCTGTTTCGCAATGGCCTTGTCCCTGATATCAAACTCCTCGCTAGTCAGGAGCAGCACCCTAAACCCATGCAGGGTGCTGTGTCACAGGCTCGTCGCCTTGAGGCTTCCAAACTCACCCTCGTCGTGCTGATGCATACACCAGCGCCATGGCTTTCACGCATGTCCCCAATCGCACCGCTATCGCCCAGCAGTACAACGCGATCCAGCTCCGGAACGCCGCCGGCATTGTCCCCGCGCGTCGATCCGACTCGGGCTCCGGTTCTGGCTCTGGTGGTGGGTCGGGCTCTGGGGGTCGCTCTGGTTCCGGCGGCCGCGGAGGAGGCAACTCCAACCGCAACCGCCGCAGCAAGGGCAAAACCCCCGCCGCTCCCCGGCCCCGCTGTACCTACTCGAAGTGCAAGAAGCCCCTCGGACACACATTCGAGACGTGCTTCCAGCGCCAGCGGGACGAGCGGGACGAGGACTCCGGCAACGGAGGCAGCAGCGGGGGCGGCTCCGGCGGCGGAGGCGGAGGCAAGCGCGCCAAGAATTCGTCCACCTCCAACAACTAGGGGTGCCCTGCTGCTGCTGCGCCTGTAGTAGTAGGGAATTGTTCTGGTGTTGCCAGTAGAGGCGTGAAGAGGAAACTCTCCACGTCCGTAGCTGTGTCTGTCTCTACCCCCGACTTTCTTGTCCCCCGTGTCCCTGTCCGTCATGGTAACTATGTAGTGCCTAGAGTCCGCGCCCGTCCTCACGGTACGGAGCGTGCATTGTACGGCCTCTCTAGCGTGTCTGATCTTCGTGTCCCTTCCTTGCAGGCTGATGACGATGGTGTTGAGCCTGTGTGTCCCCGTCCGCCCTCCCGGAAGCGGAATCTGAGTAGCAATAATGTCCCCTCGGCTTGCGCCGAGCCTCCGTGTCCGGCTTTAGCAACGTCCTGTCCTAGTGTTGCTGAGTCACGTGAGAATGTCAGGTCTGCTCAGTCTGTGTCCGAGTCCCCGTGTGCGCGTGACAGTGTGTCTTCGCGTAGCAGTTCAGGGTGAGTGCACCCGCGTGGGCGTGGTAGACGCGGGATACGGAAGTGGAGGAGGAAGTTGTCCTCTGTCAAAAATAATACGAATGATCAAGTGTGGTACAGCTCAAGGCTGGCGCACAAAACCATCGACTTTTCTCTGTCTTTTTCGTCTCGACGAGTCCGCATCGCCGGCTCCGTCGACGACGTTCCCGTGAATGATGTCACGGTGGACACAGCTACCGACGTGCCCGTCGTGTCGCTTGCTTGGTTGCGGTCTCATCCCACCTTGCAGTCTGTTCCTTTAAAACCTGTCCCTCCGTCCGCTGTAGCGCTTCGTGCCGCAAACGGCGAACCGATCAATGTCCTAGGATTTATCGATTTCCCTCTCACCCTCAGCGAAATCACCCGTACGGTGACCGCTCTTGTTGTCCCCTCTCTGGGTCCTGACCTCATGCTCCTTGATAACAGTGTCATGTCTGATTTTGGAGCACTCCTAGATTGGGAAAACGAAACCTTGCTTTTTTCGTCCTCTGGTTCAACCATACCAGCTGTTCATCGCATCCGCGATTCTGTCTCTTCGAATAGCACCAACCCGTCTCCCTCGTCCCGCGACGGAAACCTGTCCGTGGCCGCTGTACATAGCGATACTGATGCTATTCCTGTCATTTTGTGTGAAAAGGTCGTCCTCAAACCCAAAGAGGAAGGTCTTGCTGTTGTCTTCACCAATTGTCTGCCACCCGAAGATTGTACCGTCGTGGTAGAATCCCGCATTGTCACCGAAGCGGATTTAGCTGCAGACGGCACACTCGAGCCCTTCAAAAATATTATTGTCGCTCGTACCCTTGCCACTTGGCATGCCTCTGACGGCTCTGTCGTTGTCCAACTCGCCAACCCTTCCCCTGATGGAGTGTCACTCCCCCAGAAATTATGCCTTGGCCATTTGCCTACTGTCTCTGTAGTCACCCCTGATGAACTACTTGTCAATGCTGTCGCGAACACCCCCGTCACAGTCTAGGAAGTCCGCCGCGCTAGGTCTGATCTTGAAGGTGCTTTGTCCAAAGCCTTTTCCGGATCCACGTTCACCTCTGAACAAAAGGAATCTGTCTTAGACTTGTGCGCGAAATATCGTCCCGTTTTCTCTCTGTCCATGTCCGAACTCGGTCGTTGTACGATCGCCGAGGCAACGTTCCCCGTGCCACCTGGCACCCGCCCCGTCGACCGTCCGCCGTATCGCCCCAACCCCCGTACCTCAGCTGTCATCGATAAATGTGTTGAAGATATGCTAGAATGGGGTATTATCGAGAAACGGCCCAGTCCATGGGGCAGCCCTTGTACCATTGTCGCCAAAAGCAACGGCAGCCCTCGTTTCTGTGTTGATTACCGCCACACCCTCAACCGCAACATCATTCGCAAGACTTGGCCTATGCCCAACCTTGAGTCGTGCCTGGATGCCGTCGGGGACGCCCTCTACATCACTGTGGCGGACATCCTCAGCGCTTTCTGGCAAATTCCAGTGGCTGAGGAGCATGTCGACCGGACCGCCTTCGTGACTCATAACGGCAAGTACTGTTTCAAGCGGATGCCGTTCGGGGTAGCGAATGCGCCATGGCTGTTTCAACACGTAATGTCTATTGCTCTGGGCCACCTTGGTCCCGACTCCGGTGTCCTCTCGTACATGGACGATCTGATCTGTATCAATCGCACATTTGAGACCCATCTTGTCTCCATCGAGAAAATGTTCGCAGCATTGCAGGCAGCAGGTCTGTCTCTCAAGCCGTCCAAAATCCAATTTGGTCGTAAAGAAGTCGATTATCTTGGTCATGTCATTTCTGCGAAAGGTATTTCCGTCAGTACCGACCACATGGATGCCATCCGCGACTTGTCCACGCCGAAATGTATCAAGGACCTCCGTTCTATCCTCGGCATGGCAAATTTTGTCCTTTGCTTTGTCAAAAAGTACGCTGACCTCACTGCACCGCTAGTTGATCTGACTCGCAAGGATTTCGTCAAACCCCGCAAATTTCGAGAAGCTCGGGGGCCGGACCAAGATGCCGCCTTCCAACAACTCAAAAATGCATTGTCTTCCGCCCCTCTCCAATACTTTCCCGATTTTTCGAGAGAATTTGTCGTGCACACTGACGCTTCTGCGCTTGGTGTAGGTGCCTTCCTAGCCCAACCGTCCAAAGATAGCACCGACGACAAGGCGGTAGATATTGTCGCCTACTACAGCAAACGCTTTAAAGCAGGCCAACGTCACTATTGTCCCACTATGAAGGAGTGTACGGCGGTTGTCTGGGCCCTGACCCACTGGCGCCCATACCTTTGGGGCCGGCATTTCACTTGTCACACCGACCACCAAGCGCTGACGTACCTGTATCATATGCAAGATACGTCTAATATGCTTACTCGTTGGGCCATCTGTCTGCAAAATTTCGATTTCACCGTCAAGCACGTTCCGGGGAAACTTAACGTAGTCCCGGACACCCTGTCCCGCATTTTCAGCGAAATCGACGGCAAACCTCTCCCGTACGAGCCTCGGCTCGCCGCTATCTGTCGCAATGTCCCCGATGACCAACCATTCC